ATCCCGTACCTTTGGGAGGCTGAGGTGAGTGGATTGCCTGAGTCTGTGGGTTCGAGACCCGCCTGGGCAACTTGGCGAGAACTCATCTCTGTTATAAATCAAAAATTAGCTGGGCGTGGTAGCGTGCACCTGTAGTTCCGGTTACTTGGAAGGCTGAGGCGGAAGGATTGCCGGAGCCCAGGAGGTCGAGCTGCAGTGGCCACTGCACTGCAGTCTGGGCGACAGAGTGAAACTGGAACTCAAAAAAAAAAAATGATTGTAGAACTCAAAAGCCACTGTGCACAGAAGATGGCTTGATGCCCTGCAATGAGCGGGACAGACTGGGCTAGCTTTGTTCCATGTGCTCTCAACTACAGCTGTCCCAGGACTGGGCCAACTTTTGCACTCTGCTCATTTGCTTATCCTTGTTTCATTGACTTCAGCTTTCCTGTGAATGATGGGTTGCAGATTTGCTGTTCATGGACCAAAGTCAGTCTGTTAACCTTTTTTGACACTCAAATATTTTTGGATGTTATACGTTTTCTTTTGAATCAGTTGCCAACATTTTATATAGAAGTCTGGATTTCTGATTTCTTTTTTTTTGAGTCACTACTATGCCCAGCTAATTTTTTATTTATTGTAGAGATGAGGTCTCACCAAGTTGCCCAGGTGGGTCTCGAACTCGTGGGCTCAGGCAATCCACTCACCTCAGCCTCCCAAAACACAGGATCACAGACTGAGCCACCAAGCCAGACTATCTTTGCCCCTTTTTTTGAGCTGGAGTGTCACTCTGTCACCCAGACTGGAGTGCAGTGGCCGCTCCCAGCCACCGCAGCCTCGACCTGCTGGGCTCCAGCGATCCTTCTGCCTCAGCCTTCCTAGTAGCTGGAACTACAGGCATGCGCTACCATGCCCGGCTGATTTTTGATTTATTGTAGAGATGAGGTCTCGCTGCCCAGGTGGGTCTCGAACTCACGGGCTCAGGCAATCCACTCACCTCAGCCTCCCAAAACACAGAATCACAGGCTGAGCCACCAAACCAGACTATCTTTGCCCCTTTTTTTTGAGTTGGAGTGTCACTCTGTCACCCAGACTGGAGTGCAGTGGCCGCTCCCAGCCACCGCAGCCTCGACCTGCTGGGCTCCAGCGATCCTTCCGCCTCAGCCTTCCTAGTAGCTGGAACTATAGGCATGCGCTACCATGCCCGGCTGATTTTTGATTTATTGTAGAGATGAGGTCTTGCTGCCCAGGCGGGTCTCGAACCCGCGGGCTCATGCAGTCCACTCACCTCAGCCTCCCAAATGCGCGGGATTACAGGCTGAGCCACTGAGCCTGCCCTCTTTGCCCGCTTTTTAATGAGGTTATTTGATTTTTTCTTTTTGGGATTTTTTTTTTTGAATTGGAGTCTCACTCTTTCACCCAGGCTGGAGGGCAGTGGCACGCTCCCAGCCACCACAGCCTCAACCTGCTGGGCTTCTGTGATCCTTCTGCCTCAGCCTTCCAAGTAGCCGGAACTACAGGCGTGTGCTACCATACCTGGCTAATTTTTTTTTATTTATTGTAGAGGTGGCGTCTTGCCAAGTTGCCCTCGTGGGTCTCGATCTCAGGGGCTCAGGCAGTCCTCTCGCCTCGGCCTCCCAAAGTGCTGGGATTACAGGCTGAGCCACTGAGCCTGGCAGACCATATATCTTAATAGGTCATTTCAGTTATTAGGTACTCATTTAATTTTTGTGTCATGTTTTTGTTGTGCTGAATATTATGTCTCATTTGGAATCTCCTATAAAGCTGTAAGAGTATGGGTTCTACTGGATGCAACTTTATAATGTCTTTGTACTAATTACAGGTTTGATCATCCCGGCAAATTGTGTGTCTCCTCTTGTAAATCTCCTTTCAACTTCAGACCAGTCTCAACAGCTTGCGGTCCAACAGAAACAGCTATGGCAACAGCATCACCCGCAGAGCATCACCAACTTGAGCAATGCATAAAGGACCAGACAGGTTTCAACATGGATGTATCTGAAATGCTGTTGAAGCATATCATTTGCATAAAAATCAGGGACAGTTTCCAAAGAATTATATATTTTTTTCAGTTGTGCTCTCTCTAGTTAGTTTTTTTGGGAGTAAGGACAAACCTGGAATAGATAGCAAAACTGAAAATCAGCAGTGCTGATGGTGGTACATATGTCTTTCCTTTGCTTTTTCCCTGGTACTTCCCATCTGCTTTTACTGTGCGTGAGCAGAGGGGGATGTGCGTGTGTGCGTGTGTGTCAGTCTGTTTGTTTGTGAGTGTGTTAAAGGCTACAAACCACAGTTGGTTTAAAATGCTTGGAACTTCCCAAACTGGCTTTACTTTTATGTTATACAGTGCTCAGGGTTAACGCAGTACATCCATGCTATTGCTGTGGGAGTTATCCCCGGATGCATGTGTTTGAGTCTATAAATATAGAAAATATATATTGGTTTCTTTTTTCAACTTAATAGGTTTATTAAAGCATGAAATGAAAGGTTGCATATCATGCATTCAGGTTCTTTTATAGTTTTTGTTCTGACAGTGCATGTCTTTGAAAGCATGCGTAAACAAGATTAACACAGAAGTCAAGTAATGGAGAGAAACATTTGTAGATGTACAGCATTGGTTATTGCATTTTTATAGTGTTTATACCTGGGTATTGCTTCTAACCCTGCTGGCCCCTCCCCCCAGCCTCCCCCTGCCCCAGGTTTCTTGTCAAGGTAATGAGTACATACATTTTTTTTTGTGGTAAAATTTCTTAAAAGTTAATTTTAATGTATTAATAGTATTCCTAACGTGTGCTGCAAAATGGCTATAAGCCTCTTAAAGTAACACTTTCAACTTAAAGATAGTTTTAGAAAGAAGTACAAATTGGCTTTCATCTTGCAAACAGTCTTTTTTTACTTCATTATCTTAATTTGCTTTGCCACTAGTAAAAAGGAAACCATACTTGAGTTAAAAACTAGACAATGAGGAAACACTTGAGGCTTCTGCTGTATGTTTTTTTGTTTTTGTTGTTGCTGTTGTTACCCAGTAACTTGAATATTGTTTAATGTGTTGTGAGACATTGTAGAGTTTATCCCAAGCTGTTAAAAATGGTAATGTACAAATGTGAATAGACACTTATCTATATAATATGGGTAAGTTTTGTTTCGCCTATAATAGATGTTTATAAAAATAAGTGAGGGGACAATTGGTCTTTTGTTTCCTTTTTTTCTTTCTCTCTCTCTCTCTTTTTTTTTTTTTTTGCTTGCACAGGTTGCACTATTGAAAAATTGAGATTGTATAAACCTGGTCAAAAGCTGCAAGATACCAAAATCTTGTAGATGTCAAATAAAAAGTTATTATACTAACAAGAAGTGGACTCTTGTTTAGGCCTGACCGGTGACCGTCAGAAGTAGTCTGTGACGGGGACTCTGCAGAACTTGCATGTTGCCTCAGCATTCCAGGTAGCCTTACGGTGTGACTTAAAACCTACCCTTAAAGTTTGAAGTGGTATTGAGCAAGGGGTACAGTGATAGTGCTTTCGAATATTTTTCACGTTGGATGGTTCCCTTTGTAACTGTCTAAGCTTTGTGCAGAATTGGGTGAGATGTACGTTAAGTGATAGAAACCTTCTCTTGTCTTTCTTTAAGCCCAAGTTTGGTCATATCACGTTTACCGTAGGTTTCTTTGGAATTATTTTTTCTTGATGCCTAAAGGAACAAATTGAGAATAAATTTTGTTCTTTGGCCTGTTTTGCCCAGTGGATGCAACTTTTATCCTCAGTCCAGCTCGTGTATCTCAGGCAGTGATCCATTTTGTGTCAACCAGTGTCCCTTGTTAGGGCCACTAGACCCAGCCAGTAGCCAACAGCAGCATCGTCCCCACCTGCAGCAAAACCTCCTGCTAGTGCTTCTGTTTTTAAAGTGCTTCTGTTTTTAAAGCAGTAGTGCAGTCAGCTTCCATCAACACCTGAAGGTGGAATGGCTAGACCTGGGGAAGGGATGCAGAGCAACCCTCCTCTCTGAGGCAAAGCGGCAGGGCTGGGAAGGAGATTCTCTTGTAGACTGTTGACTCAGCTCTGCTTTCTCCATGTGAGGACATCTTTCTCAGCAGGTGATGGTGTTTTCAAAGCAGTGACGTTATAAGGCTTCTTTAGCATACAGCTCCTAGTTCATGTTACTGTATTGGCTCTGAAGTCGCAATTGTGATACAGAAGAGCATATGTGTATTCTTTGTAGAACAGCTTTTTTTGTTGTTTATTAAGAAAGGAACAAATAAGGCCTCTGAAAGCCACCTCAAACATCTCAAAAAGGCAACAGTGTGGATGGCAGGGCCTGGGGCACTGCATGTCCAGGTCCGTCATGGTGCATAAGCACCCAGCGGTTAGCGCCCACCCCTCTGCAGGTGGACATCCTACTTTTACACTGTGCCCTTCTGGAAGTCAGCAAGTTCAGGTCGGCCACCCTGAGAAGCCCTAGCCTTCAAGGTCCTTTTGATGTCGAAAACCAAGTCTCCACAACAGCTAACGTCTATAAAGTGGGTCTGTTGATTGCAGGATCTAAATACCATGTCTGAATTCAGAGGCCTAGTGAGTCCATTTGGCTCTGCAATGCCTTTCTCCCTTTTTAGCAATACAGCTCTGAGCACAAGCTTTGATTGGAAATCATGTTAGCGTTTCCAGAGTTTACAGTGTCGATTGTACTGAAAACCACTTCCCAAGGCTAGAGCAGCTCAGATATTATCTCTGGAGGAATTAGTGTTCCCCTAATTTGGTAACCTCCATACTACAAGGTCTCTATCTGCAATTAGTTGGCTTATCTAGATATGCTGTTGATACGAATTCATAAATGTATTAATGTATTTCTTTAAAAACAACTTGATTAAAAAGTATATGTTCAGCAGTTTTCTTTTTTGCTACTAAATTGCAGATAACACTCTTCAATCCCTTCTCTTTAAATGTGTATATAAATTAGCAAGAATCTGCGTCCAAAGCAATGTAGTAGTGTGTGTGTATATATGTGTATATATATTTATTCTAACTCAATTAGCACTTCTGAAACCATTTTGAGTTGCAACGATAAACCTTTTAGTTTGCTTCGTATGTGGAGGTAAAAGTTCTGGATGACCAAGCTCCAAAGGAATAGACTGTTTTAGAGGCACAACTTTCTGGATGTAGCTGCTGGTGCCATCATTTGCTGGTCTCCATGTGGTGCTGTTAGAGCAGCTCCTCCCAGCTGAGGAAAGAAAGGACGTCAGGGCAGCGCTCACAGCTGCAGGGTGGGTGCCTTCCCCCTCTCCCCTCTAATGCCATTTTAGCACAAGGGGGAAAAATAGAATGGAAATGATCAATGCACCTCACTTTATGGAAGTAGGGGCAGACATTCCCCCTGTGTCCTTTTCCTAACAAGAGATTAGGACAAAGGTCCCTGTCCAAGGACTGTCATTTGAAAATGTACCTGAGTGGTATTTAGTGGTTTCTAAGAATGGTGCTACATCAGGTTACTATCAGGCTGGGATTCCGTTAATGAATGTTTGGCGAGTTCAGGATTCCTGATGGCAAAGGCAAATGCTGTGAGGATAGGCACCTGCTGACTGCCCGTCCTCGTGTCTTCCATCTCCCTGGCTAACCACACCCACGCACACTGCACGTGTGCCCACTTGGCTGTGGAAACGTGGCAGGTGTTCTGTGTCATGGCTACAGCTGAGAGCAAAAACATTTCTCATTGGATGCCAGTACAAAGGCATTGTCTTTTAAGTGACAGAAAACACACCTAGATACCTGTAGTTCAAGCTAGCTAGCAGTTTTTTTCTGAGTACTTGAGGTAAAATCCAAAACTCCCTTGAATTTTATGCTGTATATATATATGTACAAAAATGTGTATATATAGAAGTGTGGAGTTCTTTTGAATTCTGAGTGTAAATATTTCTTGTAAATTGAGATCCTACCCACTTGTTTTTCCCATTTTCCTTTTCCCTTCAGTTCTATTTATTCTTTTCTTGATTTTCCCATATGGGGCATCTTATTACTTTTTTTAAATTTAGAAAAGTATGGAAAACTTCTTAGTTGAATTTGTTCCTATGTATTAGAATTCGGTTTTGCATCTTTGCTATAGGATTTCTGTTTTGTGTTAATATCTTTCAACATGTCTGTGTTCTGCATTTTTATGACGATTTTTACCACGTGCAATGTGTTGTACTGGGGGGATGCACTTGAGTGCCGTTTCTGATGCTGTTATTGTATGACTGGTCATGCTGTTTTGAGTTGTTCTTTGGAAGCTATAGCAAGTCTGATGTTTTCACATTAAAAAAAAAAATGCTTCCTAAGACTTCCTTTAAGCTCCTCTAACTTCTTCAGTGCATTTAGGACCAAACTTAGTTCTTAGCTCTGTGAACCCGACCAGCTCCTACCCTGGAGGTTTTTCAGTCCTGCACCAAATTCCTCATCTTTGCCTTTTCACTCGACACAAAAATCTTGCAGATTTGAAAGAGTGGTCTACGGATTGCAGATGCTGCAGATTTCCTGTGTTTATTTAACAAGCTGAGCCTGTACTTTTAACCTGCAAGTCACCAGAAACTTACTTTGTAATGAATACAGGTACTCTGCTGCTGTTGTAACCTGCTGAGGATAACCATAACAGGCAGGAAACTGACCTGGTACACTAGTGGCGGGTGACTTCAGGGAACGTACATTAAGGACCAGTTGTCCTTCAGAAGAGAGCAGCATAGCCGCTGGGGAGGCTCCAGCCTTCAACTCCCAGGTCGACTTCATTGGAAGGTAAAGCAGGCCGGGCCGTTGAGGGCTGACCGAGGTTCCCCTGAGCCGCTGCTCTCCTCTTGGATTGCTGAGTGATTGCACTGCATCAGCTGTTGGCCCAGGAGCTGAGCTGGATGGTGAACTGTTGCCCATGGTTAGTGCTGGTAGCAGGGGGACCTGCAGGGCTCCTGTAATGGCGGCATTCAGCACCCAGGAGGCTGACATTGCGTGTTCATTCACAGATTTGGCACCTGAAAACTATCCTTTATAATTTTCAGGAGAGGTTGCTGTGAGCGTTTCTTGGGTCTTTCATTCATGTACAAGTTTCATTCATAACTATTCAACTTTGTAGACTTGTTGAAAATTTAAAAGCTGTCTGCATTTGGATCAGTCTTGGGAACTAAATTTGTCATGAATTGGGGCTTGTCACAGATTTCCTCCAGTGTGAACCCCCCTGTTGAAACCCTCCCTGCCCAGCCTTCTTCCTCCAGCACCCATGGAGAACGAACAAGCTATGTGGTTCACCATGCGACTGTCTTGCCTGCAGCAGCGTGGCAGGGCACAGGCCCACCAAGACCGCTCTGTAGTGCAGAGTCAAGCAAGGGAGGAAGCTGGGAAAGTCGGCTCTTTTTGGTCCTTGGAGTTCAGGCCTCCCCTGGGGGGAGGTCGCTCCATACTCCCCTTGGTGAGAGCTTGCCTGGCTTTTCACTGCTGTGCCACCCATTCCCTGCCCTGCAGCCCATTCAAACCCGAGCAGACGTTCTGACCAGCAGACACTGAAGGCCTTTCTTGCTGTGACAGTATTGGTGGCACTGAAGAGGATACAGAAGCTTGACCACTGTCTCTGACTTCCACTTTATGGGGCAGAGAGAGCTTTTTTCTACGTAGCACATTGCAGTCTCACCACTATCAGAAACAACATCCTTTTCATGGTTTATATTGAATTTGCAGACTACTGATCTTTTTTCAATAACCACTTATATCTGCATCAACCATGTGAGGTGGGGAGAGGTACGCTGTATCTCTGCAATAAAACTTTTGCCAGATTCTACCTCCTCTGAGCAAAGGATACTTTTATATGTAGGTTTAGATCTTCCTCCTTTACTAATTTGACATGGTGCATCTTGAGTCAACATCTGATGGAATCCAAAGACAATTGGAAACAAAGGTGGTTGTATTCTCTTGGTTTGTTTTCATTTCGTTCACTTTAAGCCTCCCTTGTGATACTGCTACTCTGCTTTGGAGTCGTCAGTGTGTGAAGGGTACACTCTGTTCTAGCGACACTGCACTGTTGCATTCAGCCGTTGGTGGGAACACAGTACCAAGTGTCCAGGTGATTGTTCCAACCATTCTGAAATGTAACTTTTAAAATAATTGGTCTCATGCAATAAAAATGTATTGGCTGCATTTAGCAAGGTTTACTCTTGCAAGTAAAAACGATTAACCATGAAGCATAACGAATCCTGTATTTAGTTTTTTGTTGTGTTTTTTGTTTGTTTTTGTAAGATTCTTAAATAAATTAAAATAAATAAATATGAATCCCTTTTTGTGGCTTCTTTGTCCAGGGTTGTTGAGATCTGTCTGAGCCTCTGTGTTTATTAGCGGGCTGGAGGTGGGAAGGCGATTTATGTTGACACTGCATTTAAAATGAATTGGAGAAAGCTTCTCACTTGGGAACAAGATGGAGCCAGCACTCTCTGGAGCAAAAAGTAGACTCATGGCCACACAGCTCTCTGCTGGTTGCATCAAGTGCTGCAGGCTGTGGGCCTGTCACTGACCTCCGCCAGCTCCAATACTCGGTCACCAATGTTCTGGAAAGAGACCAGAGAGCAGGGGCTAGCCACATGTGCTGGGGAACTTGGGGGCTCAGGGCTCCCTAGTTAAAACTTCTTCCTGGTGCCAAGCAGGTTCTCAGTAGCTGGTCAGTGAGTTCAGAATTCAAGCTCTGCTTATGAAAAGAGGAAAGCGCAGAAACTTACGATTGCCATGGCACACATTGGGCCTCTTATGTGGGACTCTGGCAAGTACTTCCCATGTTTGTTGACTTAATCCTTAACCCTTCACTAGTTTTCACATGAAGTGACTTTACTCATAAGCTATGAAAGTTCTTTTTGTTTCTACGTTTTGTGGAATTTGTACCTTATTTAATATTTATTTATTTATTTATATATTTTTTTTTTTTTGAATCAGAGTCTCACTCGGTCGCCCAGACTGGAGTGCAGTGGCCGCTCCCGGCTACTGCAGCCTCGACCTGCTGGGCTCCTGCGATCCTTCCGCCTCAGCCTTCCGAGTAGCCGGAATTACAGGCGCGTGCTACCACGCCCGGCTGATTTTTTGATTTTTTGTAGAGATGAGGTCTCGCTGCCCAGGCGGGTCTTGAACCCACGGGCTAATATTTATTTAGTAAGTGTTTAATATGCAACCGTGGGTGTCCAGCCTTGGCCCACATGCTACTCCCAGCAGTGACCATTCGTGGAGAGTGATTCTGGTGCAGGGCAATGAGCGGGAGAACAGATGAGGTTTCTGCTGGACGTGGGAGCTGGGAGGAAACCTCAGTAATGCTACAGGTATGTGGGGTGTGGGGTCGCCTGAGGAGGTAACTGACCAAGGAGCTGACTCCACAATGTCGAGTGCCTTGGGGGGAGCTGGAGGAAAACGTTCCAGTGGGCCGAAGCCAGTGCCCAGGTGCCCTGGGTGTGTGGATCAGACAGGAGAGACTGGCTGTTTCACACCATGACTGAGCTCTGAGGCTTTCTGAAAGAGAAATAGGATCAGGCACAGTGACTCATGCCTATAATTCTAACACTTTAGGAGGCTGAGGCAAGAGGATTGCTTGAGCCCAGGAGTTTGAGACCAGCCTGGACAGTAGAAAGACCTTGTCGCTACAAAAAATAAAAAAGTCCAGGTGCGGGGGTTCATGTCTATAATCCCAGCACTTTGGGAGACCCAGGTGAGAGGATTGCCTGAGCCCACGGGTTCAAGACCAACCTGGTCAACTTGGTGAGCCCTCGTCTCTACAATAAATCAAAAAATTAGCCGGGCTTGGCGCATTCCTGTAGTTCCAGCTACTTGGATGGCTGAGGTGGAAGGATTGCCTGAGCCCAGCAGGTAGAGATGTGGTGGCCATGAGCATGCCATGGCACTCCAGCCTAGGCGACAGAGTGAGATTCCATAAAAAAAAGTTAGACCAGGCACAATGGCTCATGCCTGTGATCCCAGCACGTTGGGTGGTGGAGGCGAGAGGATTGCCTGAGTTCAGGGGTTTGAAACCAGCCTGGGATACTTGGTGAGACTTCAACTCTACAATAAATTTTTAAAAAGTGGTCCGGGCTTGGTGGCTCAGCCTGTATCCCAGCACTTTGGGAGGCTGAGGCGAGTGGATTGCCTGAGCCCATGAGTTTGAGACCAGCAGGGCAACTTGGCGAGACCTTGTCTCTACAATAAATCAAAAATTAGCCAAGCATGGTGGCACATTCCTGTACTTGGAAGGCTGAGGCGGAAGGATCGCCTGAGCCCAGCAGGTCAACACTGGGGTGGCCCTGAGCGTGCCTGCCACTGCACTCCAGCCTGGGTCACAGAGTGAGACTCCAATTCAAAAAAATTGGGCATGGTGGCACTTGCCTGTAGTCCCAGCAACTTGGGAGGCTGAGGTGGAAGAATCACCTAAGCACAGCAGGTCGAGGCTGTGGTGGTGGCCATGAATGTGCCACTGCATTGCAGCCTGGGTGACGAGAGTGAAATTCTGACTCAGAAAATAATAATAAAATTAGCCAGGCGTGGTGGTACATGTTTGTAGTCACAGTTACTTGGGAAGCTGAGGCAGAAGGATTGCTTGAGTTCAGGGGTTCAAGACCAGCCTAGGCAACAGAGCAAGACCTCGTCTCTACGAAAAATCAAAAAATTGGCTGGGCGTGGTGTTGCATGCCTGTAGTCACAGCTACTTGGGAGCCTGAGGCAGAAGGATTGCCTGAGCCCAGGAGGACGAGGATGTGATGAACTGAGATCATGCCGCTGCATTCCAGCCTGGGCAACACAGTGAGACTCCAACTCAAAGAAAGAGAAATTGGCTGGACGCAGTGGCTCATGCCAGTAATCCCAGCACTTTGGAGGCCAAGGCAGGAGCATTACTTGAGTCCAGGAGTTCGAGATCAGGCAGCATAGTGACACCTCGTCTCTGCAAAAAATTAACCAGGCATGGTAGCTTGCTCCTGTAGTCACAGCTACGCAGAAGGCTGAGGCAGGAGGACCACGTGAGTCAGGAAGTTGAGGTTGCAGTGAGCCATGATTGTGCAACCACACTCCAGCCTGGGCGACAGAGTGGAAACTCCCCATACCCCAACCAAAAGTCAGTAATTGACCGGGAAGTGTAGACTTAAGGAAGTCAGAGAATTTGGAATAGACTGGAAAGAAGTGAGAATGGCTTGTCACACACAGCGAGCAGGTTCTTGGCTTCATGGCAGGGGTGGGGAGGGGGGTTTTATTTGCTGCTCTCATGGCAATCTTCACAGCTTTCACTGACGTCAAGGAGCCAGTGAGGGCTGGGCCACTTCTAGCCCAGGTGGCAGCTGTG